ATATACCATGGAAAGGTATGCAGCCATAAAAAAGGATGAGTTCATGTCCTTTGCAGGGACATGGAGGGAAATGGAAACTATCATTTTCAGCAAAGTAACACTAGAAGAGAAAACCAAACACTGCATGTTCTCACTCATAAGTGGGAGTTGAACAATGAGAACACATGGACACAGGGAGAGGAACATCATACAATGGGGCCTGTCAGGGGGTGGGGGGCTAGGGGAGGGATAGCATTAGCAGAAATACCTAACGTAAATGATGAGTTGATGGGTGCAACAAACCAACATGGTACATGTATACCTATGTAATAAACCTGCACGTTGTACACATGTACCCCAGAACTTAAAGTATAATAATAAAAAAAGAAAATACCACATTCAGTCATAGCAATAGCATATTTTAACCATAATGTACAACATGGAGAGCTCCTAAAATTCCAACTTTGTAGCATGAATACATCCAGACATCTCCACATGTACATGATGTCCAGGTAATCACGGCTTCAAAGTCAAGAAAATTCAATATCTAATTCTAATTGATCTTAAAGTGACTGAAAAAAAATAATGCATATAACTTTTACTCTTTCGATTTCTGGAAGCAGGTGCTAATAAATTTCTTAGTTTTAAAGTAGAACTTCATACATGCTGTTTCCTTTTCAATGTATGTATCAATCCATTTAAAAACTACAGCCCAGAACTTAACTGGAAAGCTTGCCCAAATGCCTAGCAGAGATGCCTCATGTCACAATTCAATTTCTATGTACACATCGGTATCAACACAGGAAATGTGGGTACAAGAAGATAATAACAAACAGACAAGGATTCTTGAACATCATTTCCCTGAGGAACCCCACCCAGCTCCAATCATGCCACAATCCCGGTACTCTCAGAACTTGGATAAATAACTTGCACTAAACTGATTACAGATCCCTTCCTGCCCCAGCCCCAACTGTTCTTATGTCATTTTCATGTATGTTGTTTTACAACCGAACCCGGCTAAAAACCCTTTGAGGGAAACATTAGTCACATAGAACGTTTTAAAACAAATGTTACAAGAGTTTTTTCTTTGTTATCACTCACAGGGCCTAGGATGATACAGACTTTTAAGTGTGGGGTCTTAAAAACAATGTTAGTAATTGTTGCAGTTGTCTTTGGAGTCCTTTTAAAAAGGAAAATCTCTAAATGCCAGGATTGTAAATCTTTTTAAAAATATTAGGAATATCATACAACTGTATAGTACCCCAAACTGTACAATGCACTTTTATATATTAATACTCTCATTTAATATACTAATACCAATCTGGGTGGTAGTTTTCCTAATTTGGAAACCAGACACAGAGAGGTAAAAGAATTTTTCTTGGTTCTTGCTGAAATAAGCAATAGACCCTGGACTAGAAGTGGCTTCATTTCAAGACACTATGGAATTAAAGCATGTGAAAGACCACAAATAAAAAATAAACACAACACACATCCCAAAACAACACACATACACACACACGCACAGACCAAGACCACCATTTAACAGAAAACGCCTCAGAGAACAGACGACAATTTTAGAAACTGGGTCAGTTCACTTCTGGACAGCAACCAAAAAGACTGGCCTTGTTCTATCAAGTACTTTCCATCTCCTTTGAAATCGAGAGAACCTGGTTGTTTTGCAGCCAATTCAGTTTATGAAGAAGCTTAGCGAAATCTACAGCTTAAAAAAGGAGACTGTATCTTAAATATAAAGCATTAGGGAAAAAGATACCTGAGTTACTGTGGTGGAATCAAGAATGTTTTCTTTTTTAGTTTATTATTCAGTGTTTCTTTTCATTTTTTTAAAAGCTGGATTCCTCTAGCACTGAACAAAAGGAAACTACAGATGTCTTTAAAGGGTGCTTGAGAAAGTTAATCCCATAAGCCCCTGTGTGACTTCCACTCAGCTGATCTTAACAGTTGGTTCAATGGTCAATCTTAGACTTCTAAAACTTCTAAAAGGTTAATAAAATATAATTTGTCTTTCCAGGTGGATAGAAGCGTGGGTAAGAAGAAAAGTGGGCCGGAATTACAGAATCCCAGCACTTTGGGAGGCTGAGATGGGTGGATCACTTGAGGTCGGGAGTATAAGACCAGCATGGCCAACATGGAAAAACCTCATCTCTACTAAAAATACAAAAATTAGCTGGGTGTGGTGTAATCCCAGCTACTTGGGAGGCTGAGGCAGGAGAACAGCTTGAACCAGGAGGCGAAGGCTGCAGTGGGCCAAGACTGCACCAGTGCACTGCAGCCTGGGTGACAGAGTGAGACTCCGTTTCACAAAAAAAAAGGGGGGGGGGGAGGGCAGAGACAAACTAAGTCTAAGAAGAAGAGAGAAATGACAAGAAAAGATGAAAGATACAAAGAATGGAGAAAAACAAAGGGCAGGTAAGCAAACAAAAACACTCAGAGATAGGTTTGGTAACATGGCCAAGAGCCCCACACTAGCCAGGTCCTCACTATGGAAGGGACCCAGAGATTCGGGCTCCTGGTGACAACTGCACATCCTATGGCTTCTCTGGGGTTATACTCTCATGTCTCAGGTGTCAGCAAATGGGAGTTGGAGAAACACTAGGCCTACCTGATTCATCACTATTTATTTACCATCCCAACCTCCATCTACCATGGAGAGAAGCCTATTTTACCTGGATCACTGCTAATGTGGTATAGAGGTATGCTGAGAATAACATAAGTCACCTTTAACCCTATGCTCTTTAAAGAGAAGCTTGAAAGTGTCAAGGGCTGTGTGTGTGTGTGTGTGCGCACGCGCGCGTGCGTGTGTGTGTTCTCTTGGCCCTTGAAAATGCAACTAATACTGCCAATATTGAATAGAATATGGTGAGTTGGGTTTTTCTCCCCACTCCAACTCCCAACCCCTTCTATGATGTCCATTCTAGAAGCCTTCTGTAATCTCTCTCAAAGCCGGGGAGCTCAGGCACTCCTGTGGGAGACAGACAGGCCAACAAGAA